CCGGTAATGTCTGCATTCCTCTCCCACCCAAGGCCTGGGCTGCATCTGCCTCCTACTTCTGGTACCTTCCCAAGACTAGAGAAGCTGCTGTCCAAGTCTTGCCTCCTACCAGAGGTCCCATCTCTTCCCTGCTAGGATTCCCAGTCCCCACTAGGATCAGTGATCCTTGTTCCCAGGTCAGGCTCTGTCCTAACCACTCTTGCAGATGACGTGGCCTGCGTGGTGCCTGAGGTGTGCAAGCGTGTGTGTGGCACGGAGGTGGGCTGCTCCAACATCGCCTACCCGCGGCTTGTGGTGAAGCTAATGCCCAATGGTGAGCGGAGGCCTACACAAACAGGGACACTGGGACACTGCCAACGCAGAGGGGCACCCCCACTTTTACAGCTTCTGTTTGGCCCACAGGTCTACGTGGACTTATGCTGGCAGTCATGCTGGCTGCGCTCATGTCCTCACTGGCCTCCATTTTTAATAGCAGCAGCACGCTTTTCACCATGGACATCTACACCCGCCTGCGGCCTCACGCAGGAGAGAGGGAGCTGCTACTGGTTGGACGGTAGGCCTAGGCCTCCCTACTCCTCCTGTCTCCCAAACTAGCCTGGGTTTGGGGCGAGGATCACAGGACAGGTGGGTCCTGGGTAAAATCGCTCGATGGCCTCCCAACTACAGGCTCTGGGTGGTGTTCATTGTGGCAGTGTCGGTGGCTTGGCTGCCAGTAGTGCAGGCTGCTCAGGGCGGGCAGCTTTTCGATTACATCCAGTCGGTCTCCAGCTACCTGGCACCCCCAGTGTCTGCAGTCTTCGTGCTTGCACTCTTCGTGCCTCGTGTAAATGAGAAGGTGAGCGGTGTACTCACAGCTGGGGGCAGTGTGTGACACCCTGAGCAGGCTGATGCTCTCTCTCCTGCAGGGTGCCTTCTGGGGACTGGTCGGGGGCCTGCTGATGGGCCTGGCACGCCTCATCCCTGAGTTCTCCTTTGGCACGGGCAGCTGCGTGCGGCCCTCAGCATGCCCAGCACTCCTCTGCCAAGTACACTACCTCTACTTTGCCATCGTGCTCTTTTTCTGCTCTGGCCTCCTCACCCTCGTGGTCTCCCTGTGCACTGCGCCAATCCCACGCAAGCATGTGAGTGCTGGCCTCTAGGTGGGCTGTGTGACAAGACAGGTCCTGTACGGGCCCAAGGCCTACTCCTATCCCCTCTGCTGGTCGACTATGAGGAACACCCAGTGGGGAAGATCCGAGTTTCTACACTGAGGACTGTGGGGGCAGACTGCAGAAGTCCAGAGTGAAGGCGCATTTACAGAGCAAGCACAACCTTTTCACCTAAATGACATTTATTGGAAGTAGTCTGGGGGAGGTGCTGAGCTGAACACTTTGGCAG